CTCAAAATTTGGATTTCGTTAGAGTAGTAGCTCTACTCTAATGGGACTTTGTCAAATTTAACGCACCCTCTGAGGCAGCCGAGAAACAGCGCCACGAAATGGGCAGAAAATGCATTAGGCCGCTTATTGTGCACTGTCTAAAGTGCAAAATTAAAAAACTCATTAAAAAAAAATTCTACAGTAAAAACTGCTCAAATTGTGGATTACGTCAGAGTAGGACCTCTAGTCTAATGGGACAATGTCAAATGTAACGCACCCTCTGAGGCGGCCGAGAAACAGCGCCACGAAATGGGCAGAAAATGCATTAGGCAGCTTATTGTGCACTGTCTTAAGTGCAAAATTCAAAAATTCATTAAAAAAAAATTCTACAGTAAAAACTGCTCAAAATGTGGATTTCGTCAGAGTAGCTCTAGTCTAATGGGACAATGTCAAATTTAACGCACCCTCTGAGGCGGCCGAGAAACAGAGCCGCAGATTGGGCAGAAAATGCATTAGGCGGCTTATTGTGCACTGTAAAAAGCAAAATTCAAAAATTCATTAAAATAAATTTCTACAGTAAAAACTGCTCAAAATTTGGATTTCGTTAGAGTAGGAGCTGTAGTCTAAAGGGACTTTGTCAAATTTAACGCACCCTCTGAGGCGGCCGAGAAACAGCGCCACGAAATGGGCAGAAAATGCATTAGGCAGCTTATTGTGCACTGTCTAAAGTGCAAAATTCAAAAATTCATAAAAAAAAAAATGCTACAGTAAAAACTGCTCAAAATGTGGATTTCGTCAGAGTAGGAGGTCTAGTCTAATGGGACTTTGTCAAATTTAACGCACCCTCTGAGGCGGCCGAGAAACAGCGCCACAAAATGGGCAGAAAATGCATTAGGCAGCTTATTGTGCACTGTCTAAAGTGCAAAATTCAAAATTTCATTAAAAAAAACTTCTACAGTAAAAACTGCTCAAAATGTGGATTTCGTCAGAGTAGGAGCTCTAGTCTAATGGGACAATGTCAAATTTAACGCACTCTCTGAGGCGGCCGAGAAACAGCGCCACGAATTGGGCAGAAAATGCATTAGGCGGCTTATTGTGCACTGTCTAAAGTGCAAAATTAAAAAATTCCATCAAATACAGCTAAGATATAGAGCCCCCAATTGAGCCAACAATGCAATGGCTTTTTATACAGTAAAACGTGAAATTGTGCATGATTATATTCAAGCAGATACAGGGTAAAACATCAGTAAAACCAAATAGGCCAACAATGTGATAACTCTTCTGTATTTTGTCAGATTGGGTCCATATCTTTCTAATGTACAGTAACCATGCAATGGCACTTTCAAGTCAATGCAATTGAATTTAATTCATACAGTCATTTGTATAACCCTTTTCACAATACATATAATTTCAAGGCAGCTTTACAGAAAATGCAGGTTTCTATGTTACAAAACCACAATAGGATTTAATGAGATGATATCAGAAAGTACAGTTATAAGATACCACAAATTATAGTATTTACAAATATCATATATGCATCTAAGCAAAATTAATGTGTATGTTAAAGCAATTATAAATAGATCATTCTGTATAATCATTCATGTTTGATGTTCTGGAGTCCTTGCAAGGGTAGGTTTCATCTATTCAAATGTGCTGGGTCATCTGAAGTCTTCATAAGAGGCTGGATCCAAGCTGGAGCATAATCTCAGTACCTTGTGAAGACTTCAGATGACCCAGCACATTTGAATAGATGAAACCTACCCTTGCAAGGACTCCAGAACATCAAACATGAATGATTATACAAAATGATCTATTTATAATTGCTTTAACATACGCATCTAAGCAAAATTAATGTGTATGTTAAAGCAATTATAAATAGATCATTTTGTATAATCATTCATGTTTGATGTTCTGGAGTCCTTGCAAGGGTAGGTTTCATCTATTCAAATGTGCTGGGTCATCTGAAGTCTTCATAAGAGGCTGGATCCAAGCTGGAGCATAATCTCAGTACCTTGTGAAATTCTAATTTGTAATAATAATAATTTAAAAAAAAAAACATGTATTGAATACATTCAAATGATGTTATTTGCAATAATTAAAGAATAATGAAGGCCTAATTATATTTTTACAGACATTTATGTGTTATTATTATTTATTTACCTTTCAAAATACTTTATTATTCTTTTCTGAAAAATATAAACAATACAAACAGGGTCTCTAATAAGTGTGAATAAGTGAAAAACCACACGGTCCCTAAATTGAGCTGATGACATACAATAATTAAAGAATAATGTAGCCTAATTATATTTATGTGCTTTAATATTTGTACAGTCCATTTTCGCTGATATATCAGTGTTATTTGCTTTTAAAAAATTTTTATTATCATTTTATTCGGAATATAGACCCAAAAGTAACACAATCCCTTTAAAAACGCGAAAAAGAGAAAACCGCACGGTCCCTAAGTTGAGCGTCAATAAGAAGCCAGCAAACGCGGAAGTTCGCGTCATTTAAGGTGGAACGGATAGCGTCAATAAGAAGCTGCGAATAAGAAGCTGGATTCAGCCTCGTGAAAACAATTACTAAAATGCATACATCACCTGCTAAAATTCTCAGCATATAACTACGGGCATGACAACACTCACCGAAAAATGGAAATGAGCTCTATTATCCCTTTACAGGCACGGGTATACGGTATTCATATAACTGCCGTTCAGCGGAGACACAGGAAATACTGCACACAACGCGAAACATCAACTAATCCCCAAACCCCACAAGGCTAACCAATCTGCTTTCCATAAAACAGTTTGCACATACCTGAGAGGTTAGCGGTCTTAAAGGAGTCATAATGTAGTATTAACTTTGATACCCACGCTCTATTATAGTCATTTCATGCCCTTCTAAAAAAGAAAAATTGGAAAAAAATAAACAGAGAGCTCGTTTGACCCTTATTTCTGAATGCATTATTGTCTCGCGAGATCTGATGCGAGGTTTTGGCTGTCGTGGACGGTCATTTTAATAATGCAAATGAGGGGCGCGTTGATTGGTGGCAGGAAGGAGGGGGCTTGACACCGCAGGTAACTTCAGCATATCATTCCAAAAAGAGATCATGGCGCAAGTTGTTAATGAACCCGACCTGGCCGCGACCTACGGGATTCAACCGTATATGTTTGAGCCAGACTCTGAACCAGAGCTGGAAACGGAAGAGGAACAACAGTCAATTGAAGGACGTCTACATCAACATGTCTCTGAATGGTAAAGACAATTTTTTTGTCTGAGACATACATTAACATCAGTAACGAGCTAAAACGTTTTTTTTTTCTATTTTCTCCCACATAAGTTTAGCTTTAATTGAATGTAGATTACATTAACGGAGATGTAGTCTACTTTATTTTCAGCTTACAGTGGTTATAGAGATTAACGTTTGCTATAATGTGTTGTTTTTGCCTTTTTTGACGTTGTGGTTTTTTAGATATTTAATAATTTTCATCTGCAGACATGTAACGTTATGTTTTTCTTTATGTTTATTAATTCTTGACTGTTTTTTAAATGTATCTATCCTTATCTATTATATAAAAAAATCAATACAATGATATGTTGTCATTGTTATATTGTATACGATTATATTAAATAATAGCTGTATCATTTTCTAGTCTGTTTAAAGTGGAAAGATGTGGCTAGCATTCGTAGAGTCCATTCCCCGTGTTTACATCACATACATTAACCGCATTAGTAGTTAGCTGCTATTTACACAAAATATAGTAATAAAAACACAGTCTTACCATTTCAAATTCAGGCAAGTCCCTGATTGTTGGAAAGGCACCTTTTTCCAAACGTAGCTTCGATGCCAACTTCGCCTGATATTGCCCCAAATTTGTAAAAGATTCTTTTGTGAAATGTTTAGCGCAGACACCTAACGTTGAGCAAGTTGAGATGGTTGTTGGAACCGCGTCATTGAAAATAAATTTCATCCACTTGTCCCTTGTAGTTTGGGTAAAGAAAAAACATTAGAATGTGGATTATGACAGTCAACCACAGAGCAACTTACGTGTGCACTACGTTTCTGCATCTTTCTTGACTGAATATGATGGGGAGAGGGGCAGGGCGGGCCTCCTCTGCGGTGTCCATATATGGTATATCCGGCCCCGTCTTGACGTCAAGTCGGGGGAGAAATTGAAATCTCGTATTTGAGTGCGCGTGCACGTTGGCTAGTTTAAGAACCCTTGGGTAAACAAACGCTTCACTTTTGAATATCGGCATCCCGGCCAATGTATAATCGTTAGTCAATCATAACATACATTGATTCTCATGGAAAAGTGAAAATTGCACATTATGACTCCTTTAACATCCACTTAAAACAAGCCGAGGGAACCAGGGAGGAGAAAAGACAGGCTAGTATCATTGAATCATTTAAAACAAGACAGGCCATGAATCATTACTGCCATGCACACAGCAAACAACAGAACTTGCTACATGCTAATGAAACATACCTGTGTCCACTGTCAACAACAGAGAACGGGGAGGAGCCGGACGTGACGCATCCCAGGCCATAACCAACCAGCTCTTAAACAGTGGATACTCCCTGCTGATTGGTGCTCACAACCGTCAATCAACACCACTCATCTCATTCATTCGGTTACATATATAAGCACTTACTAGTGTTTCAAGGAGTGAAAAAAAATCATGGTTTACAAAAGAATCATGCATTTAAACTTATGTCATCATTTACTCACTCTCATGTTGTTCCAAACTCATAAGACTTATGTTCATCTTCAGAACACAAATATATATATAAAGATATTTTTTAATGTTTACACTTTAAAAGTACAAAAAAAACAAAAGGCAAAATGAATGGTTTAATTCATGTGTTCAAAAAACTAAACTTTATGGAAGTGCTTCCATGGACTGAAACTCATAAAATGATTCATAATTATATATGTAACCTGCTGTGTACTGATGTATAATGTTAACTGTACAGTATAAACATTATTGATGTGTGTAATCTTGTTTGTTTTTGATTTTAGGGATCACGTGAAGCTGTGTCATCCAATGGCATAGTTGGGGGTCATGCTTACACTGTGACAGGGGTTTCCCAGGTAAGACCACAGAAAATCAATTCTCATTGCTACAAAGCAACCAAATACCAGTGATGGGCATTCGTTTCAGACGTCCTTAATGCTTTTTTAGGTTTATTCCTTAACCCATACAATCTTCCTGATTATGCGTGCATGCACTTTTTACTTTTTTTGTATGTTAAAGCCCCCTCTAAATTATTTATGTATAAGCTATTAGCTGCCCTCTTAAATGTTTAAGTCTGACAGCATCATTCTTGGTTTTCAGGTGATGAGTAAAGGAAACCCAGTTCATCTGGTGAGAGTGTTAAACCCATGGGGAAAGACAGAGTGGAATGGAGACTGGAGTGACGGGTAAGTGTTGCTTATTTACTTTTATGTACTGAGTAACAGCTTTAGTATTTTATTCTTTACTGACAAACTTGCATCTATATATGGTGGCTATCGGGCGGAAACCTCATATCCCTATATTTAGTCCCCCCCCCCCCCCCCCATACATCGTTACTATTTGTTTGTGGGTTTTGCAAATATTTAACCAATGAAAAGTATTGAAAAAGAGCTTGTGACTAAACTTTCTATCTCCATTGGATCCTCAAACTGTCGCAGTGCAGCTAAGACGCGAGAACCAATCGTGTCGCTTCGCGCCCAGGGCACGTCAGAGCCTGCCAGAATGGGCGTGGCTTATGCCTATATAAGCAGACCATTTCGCCATAGAATCAGATTTAATCTCCTTCAGCGAACACCTTCTTCCCTGGCCTTCGAGCCTCTGCAGCAGAACGAGCGACTAGATCATCGGACGACCTTGGAGTTGAAGGTGACCTGATCACCTTCAACTCGGCGCTGCCTTCCCCTGAATCACCATTAACCTGCGGCTATCCGGCGAAAGAAGCCTACATCCTTCGACCTGGAAAAGCGACCTGGTCAATTGTTTCCTTCCAGGAGGCTCAACCCGGCTCGGCTACCCTCTGTCCCCGCCTGGGACCCATCTACGGCCCTCATAGGCCGCCGTTCTTCATGTCGGAAAAGATGGCGGGAAGGTCCGCAGCCCTTTACTGAACTCCGATGGGAACAAATCAAGCAATGTGCGAAGGAATGGCTCAAAACGTCGGACACTACGGAGCTAGCTATTGATCCCATACTCAGGGGCGTGGTAGCGGGGGGAAAAGGGACCCAGGGCCCGAGGCAGGGGGGGGGCCCTTAGAAGTCGCCTCAAAAGTCCGCTCATACCCATCCCCCCACCCCACCCCCCCGTTGGCGAAGTCGCCGCGCTCAAGTCAAAAGTCCGTCTACAACCCCCCCCCCCCCCCCCCCGTTGGAGAAGTCGCCGCGCTCAAGTCAAAAGTCCGTCGCGGGGGGCCCAGCAAGATGGTTTGTACCAAGGGCCCAATATTTGGTGCTACACCCCTGCCCATACTGCAGGTAAGTTACTTTCATAACATATCAATATTTGTTCATTATCTTTGGGTGATGCTAATTTACAAACTTCCCGATCAGAATCCCGATAAAAACATCGACACGATGAGAGACGTTGTCCTCCGTTGCTTGATCTGTTATCTGGGTGAAAAATAGGATAACCTCATCCATGAGTACAATGTAAGTGACAAGAATTATTCTATATATTTATGGTGTTTTGAGAAATGTATTTGTACATCGTTTTTATTTATAAAAATAGAAATGCAACTTAAACAATAATCTTTTTTCTAATTAAATTATATAAAGCTAATGTGAAAATATTTAACACAAAATAGATTTTTGTCAGCCACTTATATGAAAAAAGGTAACACTTTATTTTGATGGTCCACTTTAGACATTCTACTGACTATAAGTAACTGCAACTACATGTTAACTTACTCTATTAACCCTAACCTAGCAGTCTACTAATACTCTGTGTTAGTTGACATGTTACTATACAGTTAGTTGAATGTCTATAGAGGACCAGCGAAATTTAATTTCCCCCTCTACAATAGTGTCACCAAATGTAATTTTAAATTTATTTATTTTTTTCTTCCTGAATACACCCCCTTTATCATTGGTGTAACTGTACTTATGTTATTGTGACAGTCTTTGTGGTCCGCAAAGTGGTGGTCTTTGTGGTTTCAGTGATTACAAAGAAAATAAACTATAATGGTGTCTTAGCATTTTAAGCTGTTATAAGAAATTTTTACAACCGTACACAAATCAAGTTTATAATTATGGACAGACTTATAATGAGACAGACGAGATAAAAATACTTCTTTAATGTTTGTTTTACAGTGTGACAATGGAGATATCCTGCAGCACATAATGAAAATTGCCATCTGCAAGAGGGATTCTCAGGAGTATTTCAGCATCATCTTGGAGGGGATGCAAGTCATGGCTGGCTTGGAAAATCTGGCAAGAGCCTGTGCTGTTCTTCTTGGACTCACGTATGCACTAAACCTCACCTACCCGAAAGATCTGAGGCACACTTTTGAGGCCTTTCAGAAGCTCTTCTTGGAACTGGATGTTTGCAAGTTTTCCCCGAAATTACTAACACTTAAAAACAAACTCATGATTTAGATTGAGACAATGCATTATGACCAAGTTCTGGTGGGAAAAAAAACTGCATTGATTGATGAACGTTTAATATTGTTCTACAAGCTTTCAGCAAGTACAAATGATTTGTTTTGCTACAAGTTATTCACAAGTTTTAGTCAAGAATGTGACTTTTCCAACAGAAATTTGTATGCACATGTTTTTGTGTAACAAAATTATTTTTCTCAATGACATGGAAAATGTTAGCATTTTTTTGCTTTTATTTTTCATATCTTAAAACTGCTGTCTTACATTTTATATAGATTTGTTTTATTTGTGCAAAAAAATACAGAATAAAAGCATGTTTGATAACAAAAAGTGCATTATGAAGTCATTATTATCTTAACCTGAAAAATGCAGTAAATGTTATAATTAAGTCAATTTCATTAATACAAACGAGTAAATTCTGCTTAATTTATTATTGAGACAACTTATATTAAAAAAGCACATTCCACACTAATAATATTAAATGCATCATGTGCCATAGACTAAATAATTTAGGAAATTTTACTTAATTTATTTGGGTAGATTTCACACAAAAAAAACCCCTCAAAATCTACTCAAATATAATACGTGTAATATTGTTACCATAATTGTTTTAAGTATAGCATGTAAAAAATGTGTACATGCAGTGCAGTTACTGCTCGTGTATGCGAATTGACAATTCACCATTAAATGCGTTATTTTGAAAAGTGTTTTTTTTAAATATATATATAGCCTATATATATATATATATATATATATATATTATATTTTGGCTGAATTCTATTTGTAATTCAGATTTTACCTCAAATATTACCTTTGAATTGGAACAACATAATGAGAAGTAATTGGGATGTTAATGCTACCGTAGAAGTTTTCTTGATAATCTTATCATGTTTACTGTGCCTAGATTGCAACTTCAGGTATATCACATATTTTAAACTGGTTTATTTTGTACCTCAAGTGGTAATTCGGCATTTTTGGGTTGATAAACCAGTTTCAAAGTGCAAAATTCCCTATGTTTTCCCTTTATTTCAAAATGGGCACCTTTAGCATCATTTTTCTCAAAAACTGCAAGGTTGTGTGCGGAGAACTTTTTCCTAAGGAATCTCTATATATTTCTGATGTTAAATATAAAAAAAGTAGGTAGTGCCCCACGTGGTGGAACGAAACCCTATTTCTAGGCCTCTTTTAGGCTACCGACAGCGGCCTATCAGGGCCCTTAAGCCACGCCCATTCTGGAAGGCTCTGATGCGCTCTGGGCACGAAGCGTCCCGATTGGCATGAGATTTTGTCCAAATGACTGAAAAACAGAGTGCCCACCTACAATAAACTTACAATAAACAATAAACTAAGTTAAAATAAATAAAAGTTTATAAGTTGATGAAAACATAATGTGATGCACTTACTGCCTCAAATACGGCAGTTCTAATGATGGACAAAACAATGTCAATGGGCAAAGCCACAATATCAACTGTGAAAACGCAGTGTTTAATTATTTAGAAAAATACTGTTTTTGTTGTGTTTTTGCCGATACAAGGTTTCTACCCAACAGCAACAATATATATGTGTTAGGTAACGCATCAATAAAATGAGTAAGATTACTTTTTCAAGCAACTACTAAAGTAATGCATTACTTTCAAATTTACAGCAAAATATTTAGTTTTCCAATTAGAAATAACCAATTAGAAAAAAATTATAAAAAGCTTAAAAAGGTACTTTTTATTGTAAGTAACGCAATACTGTAATGCATTACTCTTAAAAGTATTTAATCACTCTGTCACCTCACATTCATGTACTTAAATGGTTGTTTGCTATCATAGGGTTATATCATTCTATATAATAGGGTTGCTGTGATGCTGGTATGGCACATCAAAGCCAATATATTTTGTGTGTATCTGTACATAATTCTTTCAGATCATCTTTGTGGAACACAGTGAGTGTGAAGGACAGCAAGTGGCGTGAAAAACTTGACAATGGGGAGTTCTGGTTAGCATTGATCATGTTGTAATATATGACACCTTAATTTACAATGTATGAATCACATATCGAGTATTAGTTACTCAGTATCATTGTTTTGCAGGATGCCATGAAAGATTTTACCAAAAACTTTAAAACCCTGGATATCTGCTGTCTCTGTCCTGATTTTCTGGATAGATCTCCTGGATGTCACTGGAAATCACAACGCAATTTTGGCAAATGGATTGCTGGGACTACAGCTGGTGGTTCCATTGACAATACAGGTGTACAAATGTGTATAATACAGGTGTACAATAGGTGTTTGTGTAGAAAATAAATTATCTATGATATATGCGATTAACAAAACATTATGTGCAAATGTTGGTTTCAGTAATGACTCTTTTCTCACACACATTATGGACTTGTGTAAAAAGTTGTTTTCACCTTCACATTCTGTCTTTGTACAGATTTCACTAGCTGATATTTAAAACTTGAGCATAATTACGATTAATTTACATAAACAAAGTGTGCAGATGATTATTATTAAACATCCCTGAACATCTGGATTTGATTAATAAAAAGTCCTGTGCACAAGCTTAAGTATTTTGTTGTGTTGTAGAGACTTTTTGGAAAAACCCTCAGTTTCGTGTGAGGATTGAGAAGCTTAGTGAGGACTGTACACACGAGGAGGGTGCTGAAAACACACTGGTGTCTCTCATGCAGAACCACGAGAAGAGAAACAGAAGTAGCCAAAAAAAAAAAAACTACATGATTGGTTTCTATGTTTTTAAGGTTAGTATTGACAGATGCAGCTCTGCATGTATTTAGGGGAGAGTTGTAACACTTTTTTTTAACATCTGTAACTTTTTTACATTTTTGTTTTACATAGGCTACAATTCCCTCATTTTTAAAATTCATATAGGAATTTACAATATTTTCTGTAACCTAGGGAGAATGATGGTCATGATCATGATTTTACTCCTGTAGCTATTTATATTTATAGAAACTGAGGGTACGTTTACACGACAATGATGTACTAAAAATGGAAATTTTTTACTTTGCTTTTTTCGCATACATATGACAACGTTGTCAAAACGATCCCCATTCACAAAGATCCGCAAAAACAGCTAAAAATGCTGTATTATGCATGCCAGGCCAGTAGTTGATGATGTCACTTTGTAAAGAAATATTACACGCCTATAGACTGAACACCTAATACTTATGCGCATGACGTCTACATTTTCACAAATGCACATTTTTGTTGTTTGAACAGAGATGATAAATGTGACGTTTTAATAAACTTGCACTTTGAAACACGATTTCAAAAGCTTGCATTTTCAGGGAGCCAGTACGCCGTTGACGTGTAAATGAACGGCCAAAACACATTTAAAAAATCTGTTTTTACTTGAAAACGGTGTTGTGTATACAGCCCCTAAATGAAAAAATATATAGATTGTGTGTTTAGATGTTTCTTTATTTTTTTATTTCACTGCTTTATACTCACAAATATTTGACTAGGCATATATATATAAATATATATATATAAAACTAAATACAGTATTCATTTATTATTGCATTCTTCTTCAGATGAGAGGTGAGAGTGGGAAGTTCTCAGCTGAGTTCTTCAGAGACAAAAGACCTGTGGCAATAACGCCTTTCGACGGTTTGAGAGAGGTGATGGAGTTTCTCTGGCTGGAGCCAGGAGAGAACCTGATTGTACCGTGCACGAAGAATCCTGGTGAATCAGCTTCCTTCGTCCTGTCTATATTTTCAAAGCATGAGACACACTTTGAGTAAGTTGTGGTGCAGTCAAAAGTTTATTGTTAATTTTGAAAGTGACAAAAGCAAAGACAATCCAGAGCCACAAACACATACACTCAAATATCACGTTAAGGCTTAAAAAAAAAATACAACATTGATGTGCATTACATACATGATGGTACAATACAATTTTCAATCTTTTTAGGCACACATGATATAGAAGTATATGCAGTAGAAAATGTTTGGTATAGCTTCTGTCATCTAAAGTTATTTTCCCATCAGATACATTGAAGAGACTGAGGAGAATGAAGACGATCCCTGATGAGAGTGAACCTGTCACACAAAATGGCTTCTTGGAGAAATGTCAACATATGCCTCATCATTTTTTCTTTGTTTATTCATGCTCAGTTCAGAATGGGTGTATATGGTTTTCTTTTTTTTTTCTCCCCTTTATGTAATCACTTTTGACATCACATAACTAAAGCTACTGTATTCTCTGATTGGTGCTAGATTTACTGTGTAGTTGTATACTTTTTGGTAACACTTTATTTTAGTTCCCTTGTTACAGTACATGTTACATGTAGTCATAGCAATAACTATAAAATATGGATAATTACATGCAACTAGCCCTAAACCAAACTTCAATCCTGACCCTATAAGTACATGTTGTTAATTATTATTACTCAGTACTTCAAATACTTACACTGTAACATGGACACCTTAAAATAAAGAGTAATTTTTGCCCCAAAAATGTATTTGTTATTGGTCCTATTACTTACCTGGTAATAAATATTTACATTTGATGTTGTTTTATTTTTGTATTGATCTATTTGAACATTTCTAACAAATATCAATATATAATCATACGATTGTTTAAAATCAATGTCAGACAAAGCCATATATTGATACCTTTAAGGATATGTTTACACTCATTATAGCTCATACAGTTTTTCATACATTTTTTTTTTTTTTGGCGCAGAGAAAAGAAAGAATATGTGCAAACTAACGAAATAAGCTCAGAAGACACATCGAACATCCCTAAAGGAGAGAGCTAAGATTAAGACTAAAACTGTATCTTAAATATAACGCAAAATAGATTTATACTTTGTAACGTCAGTGAGGTTTAACTGTGTACTCCTAATCAGTTAAAGTAATAGTTCACCAAAAAATGACAATTCTGTCATCATTTACTCACCCTCAAGTTGTTCCAAACCTGTATAAATTTTTTTTGTTCTACTGAACACAGAGGAAGATATTTTGAAGAATGTTTGTAACCAAACAGTCTTGGTTTCTGTCATTCACTCTCACATCACTTGCCGCCATCAAACCCACACTGGTGCCATTCAGTCTCATACAACAGCAGTCATAACGTGTCTGTCATACCCATAATAATAATAATAATAAAACTTAATAACATGCAAAAAAAATTCTTCGTTTGATGTAAATATAAAAATCATGAAACAAAACATACTTAAAGGTGCATTGCGCAACATTTCATGTTAAAAATACCCGTTTTTCTAACCCATACATGCTTAAACAATTGCCTGATGGGCTGAATGAGCCCTTCTCTGATCACTGCGATTGCCTCTATAATCCTGTACAGTAAAATATAAAAGAGGGATTCGGGCCGGAATCCCTGACTGGGCGTGACGTCATGTGCGTTCACGCTCACCTGGCTATGTCTTGCTGGTTTGTGTATTCGCCGCCATTCTCCGTATCAGCGAAGACAACTCAAGCGGCAAAACTTTAGTCAACTTTCGACAAAAGTAGAAGATGGATTCAAAGACACCGGCTTGTAGTTCATTCCAAACCCCAACGTAAACTCCACGTAAGACAAAGACAGTAAGGCAGTTTTGCTTGTCGCCAGAGGGGGCATAGTTCTGCAAAAACTCAGAGACGTGCGCAATGCACCTTTAACAAATAAATGCACAAAATGAAAACAATAAATAATAAAAAAAACATTAAACTAGCAGTATAGATTGGTTGCCAAAAATATACAATTTAAAATATTGTGGCCATGGGTCCCCCTGGACCTGTGAAACCCGGATATTTTACCTATACCATTCACTCCAATGGAATGCTTTTATTGACAGTGTTTCGCCTGCATCATCAAGTTCCTCCTCATGTGGGCTGAAGCAACAACATAATGCAGAACAGTGGTACCATTCCATCATTTTCTAATGATGTAGAGTTGAGGCTATATGGGTGCATTATGCTTATTATTAGCAATGCAAGTTAGGTAATTATCATTCTAAGTTAACAGGTTGTATTGAAGAAATGAAAAGACTTCATTGTAATATGACATACATCATCTCAAAGATAGGATTTTTTTTGTTGATTTGTCCAGAGCAAGTGTAATGCAGGTAATCTAATTACTGTAATTTAATTCATTTTAATTTAGTTGCAGCTACTTCTGATGTAATTGCATTAAACACTGTATAAATTCTATATAAAACAATAGCGGATTTAACATACAAATTAAATGTTAAAATGTAGCCTATACTTTTAATGTAACCTTCTCCCTTTACAGTTCAAGAATTATTTATGCAATTGAATATTGTTTATTTTTAAAGAATTAAAAGAGCATTTTCATGTCTATCCTTGTATTGTAAACTGGCTGAGGTTGCTATGGGATTTAGAAATTAATTAGTAATAATTCGGCCTCTCTTAATATTTTGTGAGAGAGTAATTAGTACAGTAGGCCTAATCTAATTACACTATTGAGGATGTAATTACTAGCTTGTAATTAATTAATTCGTTTTTTTTTGGAGTAGCTTACTCAACACTGGATATTTCTTAGTTATAAAAGCTATAGCAATATATACCAATATATTGGGCATAAGATTAATAATGAATGTCTACAAATTGTGAATGAATTTAATAAACTTACTTAACTTTCAGCCTTAATAATAATTTTGTGTGATATTGGCAGAAGCTCATAAGTCAGTCTGCCTAAGCATTTACTATAGAACCTCATAAATATCGTTCATCATTGCAATGAATAATTGGACTTTTATATTTTTGGACTGAGTGAAATTTGCAGACGGTCCCTTTAGCAGCCTAGGCGAATATCAAACCCCAAACTAACTTTACTGCGATCCCGGAGCGGTTGCTTCCCACTACAAATGCAAAGGCAAATGCAAGCAAATGCAAAAGATTTTTATTACATTTTGACGTTTTAAGGCCTTGGACACCTTTACAAACTTGTCTCCATGACTCCGACCTCCAACCAGATGGAACTGGATAAATGTCGTGAAAGTTCTGATCCAATCTGACTTCTGACCTGTAATGCTGTCTGAATCATAATACACCATTCGTTCGTTGGCCAGAGGAGAACTGGTCTCCGACTGAGCCTGGGTTCTCCCAAGGTTTTTTTTCGCCATTCTGTCACCTGGTGGAGTTTTGGTTCCTTGCCACAGTCGCCTTTTTCGCCTTTCTTCGCCATTGGCTTAGTTGGGGACATTTAATTTTATATTTAACAATATTATTACAACATTATTTTCCTGTAATCTATGTAAAGCTGCTTTGAAACAATCTGTTTTTTAAAAAGCGCTATATTAATAAAGGTGACTTGACTTACAGGGCTTTTTTAGTGACGTCATTACGCAATCCCCGTTAAAATGAGCGCCCCCGTCCTCTGCTGCCTCAGTTACAGTCAGTGCGCTGTTTCACATCAGATCCAGAGCAGCACCGCGAGCCTGAGAGAGAGAGAGAGAGACACACACAGAGAGACACCGACAGGTATGTGTTTACAGACCTCTTCAGAAATGAGATATAAAGTAAATGGTGAAGTCAATATAAGTTGAGGGAGTGTTTTAATGGTTGAAAGTTATCATGCTAGTGTTTTGTTGATGTTAGTTTCTCGGATATTTTTAGTTCCCCGTTTAGTGTCGTCACGTCAGTTCAATTTTTAGTGTAGCTTAGATTTATGAGCAAAGTGGAGTTTGAACCTCCAAAAACAACAACGAGAATATTTTGTTTGATAATTAAATTCTATGATTATAGTAGGCTATAGGTAAATATTACGCTACAAATGTGCCACATTTTGCTAAAATTCAAACATTCAAAAAAATAAAAAAAATAATGTAGCCTAGGTTATATTTGTGGTGAACCGACAGGTTTTGGCAGGTGATGTAACACTTTACAGTAAGGTTCATTAGTTAACATTAGTTTACTACCTTATCCTAATTAACATGAACAAAGGATGAACAATACTTCTTCAACATTTATTAATCTTAGTTAATATTAATTTCAACATATACTAATACATTATCAACATCAAAGGTTGTATTTATTAACATTAGTTAATGCACTGTGAACTAACATGAACAAATAATGAAAAGCTGTATTTTTTATTAACTAACATTAACAAATATTAATAAATACTGTAACTAATGTATTGCTCATTGTTAGTTCATGTTAGTTAATGCATTAACTAATGTTAGCTAATGAACCTAACGTTTTACCAAAAACCTGTAAGTGTACCAAAAGTTTTACAAAATATTAATTTGTCAACACAAGAGTAATACTTAAACCGGCTACTATAACTGTGGCCCAATTTCCATCATCTTTTAAACTACTTTTTTGTTTTGTTTTACTCCGCACTCTATATTTCTGTCAGTATGCCAGCAATCATCATGTTGTGTGTTTTGGATTTTCAGTCGCTTCTGTTCAAAGAACAGTCTCCCCATTGGTTTTAAACTTTGTAGTTTCCACCTTGTGGAAACTTAAAGGCACACTGTGGAACTTTTCAACCTTTATAATATATTACCAAAACCCATTGAGATGGTACATCGACTTACAATAGGTTGAATGACACGTCTGCCGAAGCCTGAAGGTGTCTGTAGGTGCCTAGCACTATGTAACTTCGGGGTTTCGGGTAGGAACCCGAGCACAAAAAGAACTACAAAATTCGACCGCTTTACGGCATACGTCACTTCCCCCACCACCCACAACTTCCTCAGATTCTGACGTGAGTGCTCAACTCGCGTTTGATTGCCGTCTGTATGTTTTCGTCATGGCCGAACCAACAGCTACAAGGAAGAAGGCAAAGGTTTTGTCAGAGGACACAAAAAAAAAGAAAAAGGCATAGTGACAAATGAAAAGCCAGGACGAGGATCACCATTGGTCCAGCGTTCGCTCGCTGGCGTGAGCTACACGTCTATGGAGCTACAGGAGGAGGATGGGTGCCCGACCGATGCTAACGCTTGCCTGCACACAAATGCCGTTTCCAAGGTGACACAGATAAATCATATAAGCAGTGTAGTATTGTCTGGTATTCCGGCCACAGCCGATGGTGTTATGGGTGTGATAAAATGCCCACAGCCCATTGTTCATTTCTACACACAAACACAGCCCGCCACAGTGCAGGGCTCGAACAAATCCAACATGACATCATGACTTTGCGTAAACATACACGCCACTTTCAATTCAAGTGGCGTGTTATTTATACGCATTTTGAGCTATCCGCGTGTATGTCCACGCCGAAATCTTTTGCGTGTATGTCTACGCCATTAAATGTCCGAGTGATTCCGCGTGTATGTGTACGCCGTTAAATGTCCGAGCGAAACGAAACAAAATCTATATCTACATCTGTGGAGCGATATTTCTTTTCCTAGGATGGTAGGAGAAGACTCATAAATGGTATTAACCCCAGTGACGGGTAGGTTTAGGGACGGGGTTGGGGTAGGTCATATATTTATATATACATAATACAGTAATATAACGTTAAGTGAAAGGCGTTGATAAACACGCT